GCGGCGAGATATGGGGGAGATGTGGGGAGATCTCCCATACTCCCTAGATACTCCCTAGACACTCCCGAGACACTTCCTAGACACTCCCTAGACGCTCCCTAGACACTTCCGCCCGCCTCTGCGAAGAGCCTTCCCGAGACGGCCGTTTGGTGACCCAAGGGCGCGGCGAGACCAGTCGCCCGACTTCGCGACGGTCCCTAGACATTTCGTAGACATTTCCTAGACACTGACTAGGCGCCCGACTTTGCGACGGTCGCCATCTACACGTGCGCCGCCTCCTGCGCCATCTGGCCGCTGTCCCGCCGGCAGGCCCAGCCGGCCGAGGCGGCGAGCAAGCCTAGAAGCGGAATGCGTGACTAGCGCTCTCGAGAGGACACGTATGTAGCTGCAGCCGCCGTGCTCGGCTGCATACAGTGCATTCATTGCCCGTGTCCTCTGAAGACGCGGCGTCAGACCGTACTCCCGCCCTGACCCTCGGTGTGTGTTCATGGCGCAGGCGAGGGAGGCGGGCTGCACGCCGCCCGAGCAGCCGGGTGCGTCGACCGCCCTCCCCGCCGAGGGGTGGGGAGGGCTGCCCGCGCCGCCGACCGCCGCCGCGGCCGAGGCGGCCGTGGGCCGGAGGATCGTGTTGCAGGGACTGAGCCGCGCCGACCTCAACGGAGCGACCGGCACCGTCCTCAGCTGGCACGAGCCGAGCGGCCGCTGGGCCGTCGAGCTGGACGCTGTCGCGGCGGCGGAGGGAGAGGCGGCGAGCGGGGAGGCGGCGGCGGGGGCGGAGGGGGCCGGCGAGCGGGTGCGGGTGAAGGGAATCCACATGGCGCCCGTCGACGCGGCGACGGAGCCGGCGCTCGGCGGGTATGTGGAGGAGTACTGCTGGGTGCAGATGCAGGAGTGAGGTGGAGGTGGCGTCTCCGTCTGGCGGGGGTCCGGGCTCTGGCGCGACCGCCAAGGACGTGTGATTACCGTGTACCACCGAGATCGAAGGGGGAAAATGTGCACACACACACACACGTACGGGCACGCGCGCGCGCGCACTTTTCCGCTCGGGGGTCTCGCACACACCCCGACAGCGTCGGCCCCGAGGTCAGGTCTTTCGTCTACTGTCTCTGTTGATGACAACATTTTTTACTCGCTGGTCCGTCTGCGACTCTCCCTCTGCGCCTCGCGACCGCAAGGCCAAGGCGCAAGGGGAAGCGGGAACGAGGGCGTCACTCTCACGTCTCAGTCTCACCGCGCCGAACATGAGTGTGTGGAGTTAGAGAGACCCCCCTGCCGGTGCCCCTAGTCATCCACGTAGTTCTAGCTGTGCCGTTCCATTCACAAAAGCCCCGCCGCTCTTCGCGGCGCTTTCGGTTGCCGCGCGCATCAAGGACACCATGCTTGGCAAGCAGCCGGTGCGACCGCCATGGCCGGGGAGGGGGGAGGGGCGTGTTGTTTGAAGCCTTGGGCCCTCCGCGCTCGGCGGAGCGGTTCTCATCGTGCCTCGCGCACAAGCCAAGCGCCTCCTTGTACTGGAGGGCAATCTGCCCGACGGAGAAGCGGTCCGCGACTGCCACGCCCGCGTCGGAGACGCGGCGGCGAAAGGCGGCCGACGCGGCGAGGGCGCGGACGGTGGCGGTAAGCTCGCTATAGTTGTGCACGAGGAGGATGTGCGGATCTCCGGCCGCCACCTACTCGAGACGTCCCGCCTCAGGCGGCCCAACCCTAGCTGATCTCGGCCAACCCTGTCCAGGCTGGTCGCGCCTCCTCAAAGGTTGGCGTCCAGAGGGCGATCACAGGCACGCCCGTCGCGAGCGCATTGGTCAGGCGCTGCGCGGCGTTGGAGTGGAACCACTGAATCAGCAGGTCGTACTGTGCGAAGACGCGCGTGAACAGGTCGCCGGTGCCGAGGAACGCTGCCATGCGCGCCTGCACCTCCCCTCCACTCATCTTGAGCGCCTGGCTCAAAAAGCCGAGCCGCGAGGACGGCGCGGCCGTGCCGCCCCAGAGCGGGTTGCAGCTGAAGTCGACCTCCGGGCCCAGCGCCTTGGAGAGGTTGACGCAAAATGACCTCGCCGTCGGGAGGACGCGGTGCTCCATCACCATCAGCGCTTGCGGGCGGGCGGGCCAGAGGCTGCCGTCCGACACGCGCCGCGTGACCGAGTGAAAGTGCTCGATGTAGTGGACTTCTCGGGTGGTGTTGGCGAGGACGGGGCAGCTTGCGCTAATTTGTTGCCACGCGATGCGGGAGAGGGCGATCGCGCCGTCAAAGTGACGCAGCAACGACTCGCCATTGCAGGAGGCTGCCTGTGCAATGCCATTCTGTGAGCTCGGTCAACCTCGGTCAACCTAGAACACTCTCAGTCTTGCCTGGAAGAGCGGGTTTAAGTCCATCGTATCGAGCAGCAGCCGGCGCGTCAGCGAGCGCACCGTCTTGATCAGGTGAATGCTGGAAGGGGATGCAGGCGGAGCGAGGTAGGATTGCAGTGTGGTTAAGAGTGTGTGCGTGGTGCGTGCACGACCTGGACGGGATTTGCTTGATGAAGATTATTCCGTCGAGCCTCTCCTGCCCCGGCTGGCGCAGGCGCGACAAGGTGGCGGCGGAGCAGCTGGGGATGCACACCGCCGGCAGATCATGCGCCGTGAGGGCGCGCGCAGTCTCGAGGCAGCGGTGCCTTGGCCCGCCGAGGTTGAGGCCGTGGCATGCGGCGATCACAACGCGCGCGCGTTCGAGTGGAGGCTCGAACGCGCTCCGGTTGGAGACGGCGGCGGCCGGCGCGGCCCTGAATTTCTCGGCAACGGTCAGCGGCATATAACACACGGCCAGCCTCTCGTGCCCGCCGCCCCCCCCGACCGGTGTCTTCGAGACCTCGCTGCAATGCAATCTCTGGACGGTCGGTGCCGTTACGGCCCCTTTTCGGCCCCTATATAGGCGCCGACACGACCGCCCCAAACCCACGACGGTGATTGGGAAAGAAGCTCGCGGTACGGCTCTATCGCGCGGCTAGAGGGCAGCGCCAGCGCTTCTTTCTAGCTCCTTCCTCGGTCGGGCTCGGCCCTGCCTGCCTGGCTGGGAGCGGCCGCACACTGCTCGGTACCCCCCCTGCACAACTAAGCTCATGGCCGACCCCCCCCCCCCCCCCCCAGCAGCAGCGCTCTGCTGCTGGGGGGGTCGGGACCCCCCCCCCCCAGCAGCAGCGCTCTGCAGTGAGGGCGAGAGGGCGAGGCAGCCCATCGCTGTCACAGCTGTGGCAGCCGCACAGTAGGCTGTGTCAGCTGTGCAGAGAGCGTGTGAAGCAGCAGTGGAGCTGCTCTCCAGGCTTCAGGCGCAAAGAGATGCATGCCACCGAAGGCGCTGTCGAGGTTCGCCGAGCGCGGCGCAGGACTGGGGGTTGTGGCGTTGCCGTTGGGCGGACGCCCCCGGCCGCCTAGTCGGCCGCGGGCGGATTGTAACCAAAAAAATTGTTCCAGTCTTAGCAAGCAAAAAGGAGCACACACGACTCAGCAAGTCCGCACCAGCGACTGCCACTCGCCTAACCTGCCTCGTCACAAGTGCCCTCCCAATCGCGCCCAGGCACACACGCTCCGCCTGTTCTCACCCAAACACTCTATCACACCCTTGCCTCCCTGCCAGAGCGAGCTAGATTCTCCCCGCCTCCCTCCCGCCTCTGCCGCGCGCCTTCTATGGACGTCCAGTGCAGCACCTAGGGGGAGAGAGGGGGTTTGCCCTGGTAGCGAGGTGGCGAGGTCGCGCACTGCAAACCCAGTTTGTGAGGAGTGGGGGAGCTGGGACAGGGCATGTACGCCTCTGATCTGTCATGGTCTAGTGGCCGATAGGATCCTCCCTTAGGCAGCGATGGCGGGTCGGGAGAGGCCCGACTTCATAGCCCGCCACTTACTGCCAGCCTCTCTGACTGCCCAGGGTCTCACCACGATGCCGCCCGAGTAGGGGGATAAGGTGTGTAGAGTGCGGCTCTGTACTGAACCTCTTCTCTGTGTGGATCCCACCTGAGCCCACTCGCGGTGCGAAGGCTCCTAATGCGGCAACTGAGCCCGCAAGGGTAGGGCACTCAGGGAGACGGAGAGGGGTTATGTTGGATAATACGGTTTATGTTGCGGTGTTGTGGCGTATACATACACACCGCACACTGTGCTGTGTGCAGAGCTGGCGGATTTTAACAAATGTGTCGTCGCAGAAGTTTTGACCGTTATCATACATTTGTTTACTGCTCAACCAGCAGCGCCGCTCGGACTCCCTCCAAGTGCGCCATGCCCAGCACCGCCACGACCGCGGCGCCAGCACCCGCGGCGTCCTCAGCCTCGCCGCCGCCGCGCAGATGCTGCGGCGGCTGCAAGCACGCCTCGCGTATGTTGCCCGCCAGCACCTGGTTGCGCTCCTCGATTAGAGCGATGAAGCCCGCCCGCCCGAGCACCACCGCCGCGAGCGCCGTCACAGCGCCGTCCGAGACGCCCGCAACCGCGCCCGTCGCCTCGTCGACGGCCGCCGCGAGCGCGAGGGCGGCGGCGGAGAGTCCGGCGAGCGGCAGAGCCGCTGGCGACGAGTAGGCGTAACGCGCCACCGCCAGCGGCGTGCCGGCTAGGATGCGCCGGTCGAGCGCCGCCGCGCCAAAGGCCGGAAGCTGCTAGAGTGCTAGTCGTCCGTCGTCGCCGATCCTTCGCCAGCCCTGCTGGGAAAGCGCGTCGGCCACCGTGCGCGCGACCGACACCGCGAGACGACAGCCGCTCTTCTGCCCGGGCTGGTCCGCCAGGACTAACGTCCACGAGACCGCACTCAACCCCCACCTCGAACACTACTTTGAACCTCTTCCTCCGACATCCAGCAACCCGCAAAAGGATTGTTCCCGGTTCCTACTTGCGGAGCCAACTTCTTGAGCTCCAAGCGCCCCGATGGCA